AAAATATTTTCTGCAATTGGGTAGTAGATATGATGTATGATGTTGGTTCCTCCATGTTTATGTTCTTGTCTGTTTGATGCATGAGAGGCATGAATGGGTATTTTGTTACTGTTTTAACAAATTGTGTAAGAAATGAATCATCTTGAGTAAAAATTCACGGTATAATTATCAGACAGTACATGACTAGGTTTACAAAAAAGTGCCTAATATTAATAGGCAATTATGAAAACAATTCATAATATCCTAGCTGTCATAAAAGGAAAAAATTCGGTTAATGACATTAAATTTTAACGCTGTTGGACGATACCGATAAGTCTCAAATTTTACTGCAAAAAGGAATAGATCCGTGTAAACGATTGAAGCCTTGCTCAGAAACCAACTAACATGTTTCAACTTGAATTAATAATGTGACGAAAAATGTCCTAACGTTTCTCGGTAGGTACTTTTTTTAGGCAATGGCAATATAATGCTGTTAACAAAACTCACTAAGGTTTAGAAGGAGTGATAAATGCGATCTTGTTTATTTTTATGAACATCATTAATATTTTCGTACCAAAGAACAGAGTAATCAATTTATTTATCCTGCTTCTTTTATTAATTAAAGTCATGGGATGTTGCTGGAATGGCGAGCCTGGTAATTTTAATAGATATTATTAAAGTTCGTACTAAACCTCGTACCACGAATTTTTCCTCTGATGCATTTACATATTCGATAATAATTGAAACTTCCTTGGGTTTGATGAACCCTAACATTCAAGTGGAAAATATCTGCATAGATTAATTAGCACAGGTTGTTCTTCTTGCTCAATGAACTGACCGTTGGAGAGTTTAATTAAACTCTGTCACCTTTGATCATTTGGCGCATATTATCCGCTCCTCGCGGTGGCAGCACACCTCGCGGTGGCAGCACACCTCGCGGTGGCAGCACGCCTCGCGGTGGCAGCACACCTCGCGGTGGCAGCACACCTCGTGGTGGCAGGACGCCTCGCGGTGGCAGCACACCTCGCGGTGGCAGCACACCTCGTGGTGGCAGCACGCCTCGCGGTGGCAGCACACCTCGCGGTGGCAGCACACCTCGTGGTGGCAGCACACCTCGTGGTGGCAGCTTGCCCCGCAATCTCGAGAATTTCAAATCCATGCGAATTGAATGTGAATTAGACTTATGTTATGTTAACATACCAGGAAAACAATGCGGTTTCGACCCTGGAAATGATTGAATAACCAATATTATATAAATAAGTATAAAATCTTTATTAACGACTCACAGCTTTTCTTGCTCATTTGGTGAGCAGAGACCTCGCCAGCAATTTTTTTGCATTGGCACCATTTTTGGCCGTAGTTTATTCCGCGAACGCCAGATAGGCTGCACGGTTCCGTGCAGGATTCTTCCACCAAGTTGGTTTGCCGTCGATCATTCCTTCCTTTGAGAGGAAATTATTCTATGCTATTGCAGATATTTATTTTTGATTTTAAGTATGAACTAAGAACAGAAGAAATTCTTGAATAAAAAATCGAAGCAATTATATATGTATTGCTTCGGGATATTGTTACGACTTTTTCTATCGCGTACCTTTCTTTACTTATCCACATTTATTGCATGGGTTGCTTTTACCAGGACTTTCAAGAAGCTGCCTCCTTTTCGTAAATAAAATAGAAAGATAAACAAATAAGCACTAGCGAGAGAGGCCAGTCCCGAGGATTTTTAGAAAGCATTTTGCGCACCAGCACTCAAAACGCTAAGGTAATTTCTAACATCAATTGGTTTCTTTGCTTGAGCGTGAGTGAAAGATGGCAAACGGTCACATGAAAACCATGCAATCAAGGCGTCTAGTCAAGAATGATTATGAGCTTCAGGGTAGACCTAATCAAACTAAACAGTGATCTCTGATTTCAAGGTAGAGGTTAAACACCTTTCATTATTCGATATTTGGTGAAGAGGGCCTCCAATTGCATATTTTTTGCAAGCATTCAGAGATTCATTAAAATCGCACAATCAGTGGTAAAATAAAATCTGATTTAGCCTATGTGCTTGGAATAGTTGTGAATAATATTGACAATTCCTCGAACGAGCCCTTGCCAACTGCTGCGTAAGAATGTTCAGCTCGATTTGTTTATAAGTTATTACTAATCTTTCAATATTCACAAGTTTATATTGTTTTCTGCATGCATCATTTTGTGAGTTCTTCCACATCACATTACCAAAATTTAATTAATTTTTCTTCAACCTTGGATTTAATGGGATAAATGAGAGGCGTTCTGAATAAACAGAAATGCATTATAGAAGTGAAGTGATTCAGAAGTATCTCAGTTTTCAATAACGACTAGCAGGTGAACGTTTGAAAAGTGCCTTCAGAGGAATAAGATTCATGTTTCTAATTGGATTACAATGTGCAAAAATCTAGTGAAGATGCATTTCCACACAGCTAATTTTCGTCGCGCAACTAATCAACGAAAGTAATAGTTCGCTGAGGTTTAATTCAAATACTTATTATTATTATTATATGCCTCAGAATACTCGCACTCATCATGCGTGACGGGGAATAATACTCGCACCCATCATCCTTTGGGAAAGATCCCATGATGTCTCAAATGCCAGGAGTCAACGGATCCCTCAACAACGGTATCCTCCTGTTCCCCGGTATGGATACCGGGGAACCCCCCCCCAACAATGTCTTACATAACATAGGCCGTAATGCAACGTAGATGCACTTGCTTCGATGTATGCATATATACTTTATAATACCAAATTTATGACCATTATAGGACATTAGCATAATAAAAATATGATGTGAGGTACTACATAATTCTCATTTGTAAGTTTGTTAGATAATTTTATTTTTCATTTTTTACATAGAAAATTACTAATATAAATGACTATACACAATGAATTATGTTTTTCTTCTCTAGTAAACATGAGCAATAATAAAAATTTGTTTTGCTTACGGTTATCTTCTAATTTTTTCGATAAAAATTACAAAGTTTTCATTTCAGCGTTTCATTTCATTGTTGTGAATGACATTTTTAAAACAATTTTTGCGTATCTGGAAATTGCTTTGTAATCAATCAAATATACATGAAAAATTTAATTCATATATTCTATCTAATTCTCGTATAGCTTGAAAGTCTAATTAAATAGGCTTTTTTATTGCTTGCATGCAAGACTTAAAACTCTTTCTCGAATGTTTTTGTCTTGCAGGTTGAACTTTACGTTGTATAAACCGTGATCTTTTCAAGGCATCGTTTGGTTATCCGACGGTTGATGGTAACATCAATGATAGTTACTAAAGTGTTAAGAAATATATACCTATTAAAACGTCGAAATTAGCGTAATCTGCGTTTCAAATCAACCATTAGGTGCTGGTGAAGTGGCCCCTTGAGGGCGTTTCAAATCAACCACTAGGTGCTGGTGAAGTGGCCCCTTGAGGGCGTTTCAAATCAACCATTAGGTGCTGGTGAAGTGGCCCCTTGAGGGCATTTCAAATCAACCATTAGGTGCTGGTGAAGTGGCCCCTTACGACCGTTTCAAATCAACCATAAGGTGCTGGTGAAGTGGCCCCTATAGGGCGCTTCAAATCAACAATTAGGTGCTGGTGAAGTGGCCCTTTAAGAGCGTTTTAAATCAACCATTAGGTGCCGGTGAAGTGGCCCCTTAAGGGCGTTTCAAATCAACCATTCGGTGCCGGTGAAGTAGTCCCTTAAGGGCGTTTCGAATCAACCATTAGGTGCTGGTGAAGTGTCCCCTTGAGGGCGCTAAAAATCAACCATTAGGTGCTGGTGAAGTGGCCCCTTAAGAGCGTTTAAAATCAACTATTAGGTGCTGGTGAATTGTCCACTTAAGGGCTTTTCGAATCAACCATTAGGTGCTGGTGAAGTGTCCACTTGAGGGCGTTTCAAATCAACCAATAGGTGCTGGTGAAGTGGCCCCTTGAGGGCGTTTCAAATCAACCAATAGGTGCTGGTGAAGTGGCCCCTTGAGGGCGTTTCAAATCAACCATTAGGTGCTGGTGAAGTGGCCTTTTGAGGGCGTTTCAAATCAACCATTAGATGCTGGTGAAGTGGCCCCTTGAGGGCGTTTCAAATCAACCATTAGGTGCTGGTGAAGTGGCCTTTTGAGGGCGTTCCAAATCAACCATTAGGTGCCGGTGAAGTGGCCCCTTGAGGGCGTATCAAACCACCCGAGAGTCACTTCGTCCTATCGCCTAAATTCAATGGAATTTAAACGCCGTCGTACGGCCTAAGGCCGCTTATTGGACGAGGTTTGAAAACAAGCACTTAAGCTAAGATCATTGCCTTTTCAAGCCTTCTCTTTTAATGCATTACATGTTCTACCTGGAAATATAAGCAGCGGCATTGAAAATATACAGCTCTAAACTCTCTTCGGTAAAGAATATATAACGGACGTTCGAGGTTACGCGAGGTGACTGCATGTTAATTTGGTGCATTATACTCGCATGCATTAACATACATATTGGGTAACTACACGCGATCACATTGTTTACATCCAACTCCTATATTTATACAATGAGTTTGTTTAAGCTCGCCTGGTATGTTTCTTCGTGCCATTAATAATAATTTTTTGTGCTACTGTCAGGTGACAATGCTGATACCATTCGTCCTTGGATATTTCCTGATTGATGTCTTCCTTGTTGAAAGATAATCTCCTTCACTGCGACTGCGATATGTTCATAAGCCTTTCCTGTTTATCAAGTCACGCCCTTGGTGACGTAAATAGGGAAGCTATATGAGCTCTGCCCAGACGCGTAAACGTCTGTCCAGACGTCTTGGGCCGAGAACAGTCGTGTGTAAGCCACTACTCCTGTCCTTATCAATCAGGACAGTAACCCTAAATTAACGTCAGAGCAGAAGATACACTCTAGACTTATCCATACTTCAACTGAAAGCCGAAGACATCAGTGTTGAAGCTCCAACTTATAATCTTCAACTTATAATTATCATAAACTGTAAGCCGATATATTCTCACTAAGTATAAGTATCTAATCTGTACTTAACTGGTGCCTCATTTATCCTCATTTGTTTATGGTACCCGAACCTACCTCAGGTAGTTTATAACTAATTAAATACGCCTAAAACGTGCATAGAAAAGCATGGCGTACATACGAGCCCTCAACATCGTACACTATTCTAAATTAAAAATCCGATCATAAATAATTATGTAATTCACCACTCAACCGGCATATAAGGTCGTTGCAGCGCCATCTCCGAATGCCATTTCATATCTTGTTTCGCAGTCACTATAAGTCACGCAGTTCAAAATTTCGGAGGACCCTGGCAAGCGAAATGATACTCAGCCCACCAATCCACAGAGTCGAGCAGGTAGCCCTTGTCGCGGTTCATGATGACACGATTGTTATTGTTACTACTACTTGGTTCTCCGAGCGCCCAGAAAGTGTTGTTCACACTAGCTCCACCTTCCCATTGCCAAGCTGATTGTGAAACCAGTGCGTTCACGAAGAGACTAGGCAGTTTCGGTTCTGTGGGTATAAAAATCGATTTGAGATTTACAATACTGCAAATTGATACATTGAATACTGGCACAATTGAAAATTTTACCCACCGTCTATGTTAAGAAAACCTTAAGACTCTTGAGGCGAGTTGAAATTCGAGACAAGAACTGTTTATTGTAGTTCGCATTTTTTAGAGTTTGAAAATGATTATAGTATTTCAAATTTCAAAATATTATATTAATTTCAGATAAATATAAACGAGCATCTGTGGTAAACAAGTACTGATAAGGCATTTATCGAATCATGAGAGATACTGGGTTGCATTTACAACAGGTTAACGAATTCATAAGTCCGGGCGTGGTGCTAGTGCGAACGTGATAGAAATACAACCGGTACTGTAATATGATCGACAACAGTCCGCATCGAGTATAACAGGTCGGAACTATTTGTCAACGATAGGCGTCAACAATCTATCTAAAAAAGGTTGCATGGTGCGAAAATGTGAAAAATTCCCGGAGTATGTGAAAAAATTCACTATTCGTTGTACTTCCGAAAAATTCCAAGGCTTACTCGGATCCCTAAATTTTTATTTCAACACCAGCTTCTGAAAATATATCAATCTCATGGTCCTGTAACTCGCTTTGATGCTGTACGCGCTTTTGGATTGCCGGGAAGCAATAATGTCCGTCAATAGGCATATAAGACTAGCTCATTCAAGCTCCAAATTTGCTCATGGTGACTCCATTCTGTCTTGATACAAGTTGGTAATCGTTACCATTAATAGCATCATGATTAAACTTGAGACAGCGAATGGCCATGTACTGTTATCGTATTAGACCGATTCACTCCATTTCAAAATACAAATGGGTCGCTACAGTGACAAACCAAGTTTCGTTTCGCGGCTGCAGAAGCTTGTAGTGACTTGAGCGCAAATTAATTCGATTCCAATATGTGTTCCGGACGTAAGGGGTGGATTTATCTAGGTGTCCGTACTCAGCAGCGATCGACGGTCTTACCCTTCGCTTTCAATATGTGCCGCCCGGTGGCGTTTAGTTTAATTTAGTGTTGTTCCATGAGTTCGTATACGCGTTCTGTCGCCACTTGAAATTCATAAATTTATTGAGGCGTACGCTGCAAGAACCTTTGATCACATAGTCGCTCCGAGGCTTGTAACTGTTGTTGAATCATTGAATGGTCCTAGAAATTTTTTAATTAACAATTTTTTGTGTATGAATAAGTGAGGAATCAGGGCAGTAGATTGGGTTGGCGAAAACATACAAAAAAACATAGCTTCTCGAATGAATGACACTTATATGAATGTCCTGTATTGTGAAAAGTTGTCGATATCAGCTCTCAGTGCATCAACTGGAAATAACTATAAATTTACTATAAAATTTGCCACCAGGTAAAGCTTCATTATCAATATGCACGGTGTGATGTTGTATGTAGGCTGCAAATTCCCTATTTGCATTCAGACCGCGGAGATTAAGTATACCGGCGCTGATGTAGGCAGAGGCTGGTAATAGTAGCTGTGTCAATTCCGGCATGCGTGTTGGTGCCTCGCTTACAGGGGATTACCTGACAGTCGCCTAGGTGAGCTGTATTTTGTGTTACTGTTAAATACTGTTACTGTGTTATGTTTTACCGTATTTCGTGTTACTGTTACTGTGACTTTGTGTGTGTTTACTGATAGGTGGTTTATATTATGAAGAATCAATGTGGTGTCATGTAAGGCCGTTGCTAGGGTAGTCATCGGGCGTCTGAATTACCAGTGTACTTACGATGTTTATTTTTCTTCTAGGATCAAGAGCTTTGTCCGTCGGTTAGCTCGCTCTCTCTCTCCTCCGCGTCTTAGCTTCGTAGTAGGCTAGCTACTTGTTAAACTTGTTAGTTAATAAACTTTGAGGAACTTGCCTTTGTTTATAAATCCCGTCCCGCCTTAATTAAGCATTGCTTCGTAGCCGATTGAGTAGCTGTTTACCTATTCAGCTTCCGGTCATTGGTAGGTGAGACAAGTATGGTCAATGCGAACCGTTAGGTGAGGTTACCGGTTGCTTGGTGGTCAGAGGCCGGTTTATTATACACGGTAAATTGATAAGTACAATTATATTGCGAACGGAACAGACTATGAACAAGAGATGTTATATGTGATTACTTCCAGTATAAATGAAGTAGTTAGATTAAGCTTTATTTTCTCACGGGTTGCGTTGAGTCTCTCGACAACGGCTTTGCACTTGGCAGGCGTATCAAGAACGGCCAAGCGGCCACCCATCACTTGGCACTCGTATTGCGCTCCAATCCAGTTCCTCGTGTAGGTGGACAGCCAGATGCAGCCGGTCCCTAGGTTCTGGTAGCCCTTAAACTCGTCGCAACCTTCAAGGCGGATTATCAATTTAGTACAGATGTGATTTGTGACATAAGACTATTGAACATTACATCGGAAATTGAATATAATATCATAACTGATTTGTAATTGGTTTAACAATTTGATGTCGGTTTAATTTGATATATTTAGAAGCAATGCAATTGTCAAAATATTGGTGTGTCATGACATCTCTCTATTAGTTTTCTGTACCAGTATCGCGTATGAACGAGCTGAAGCCCGCTTGGTCCACAAGGTAGATGGGTAGCTGTGGTTGTGTGGTGACGTGGCAGACGTTTGGGGTGCCGAGGGCGATGGTCTGGTTAGGGACGTACATGGCACCGAACGCCACACCGTAGCACTTCGCGGACACGCGGCATACTGTAGCGCATGTACCTGCGCAAAATTTGACCTCTCAGTATTGGTACGTTTCTTCAGAAGAACAGTCATAACTGCACGTGAATATAGAATCTTACGCGTGAGTCACCATCTCGAGCTCCAGTCAGAGGAAATCTGGAAGTGAATGAGATATGAAAGTATAAAGAAAATTCAAACAAAATGAGGAGCATTGATATTGTTACTGATTGTACTGACAACGTAAAGATTGTACAGTTTGTATTTAAATGGAACTGTTTAGAATTTCCGATACTTCACTTAGAACAAACGATCTATGACATTCCCCAAATACTCTTTGTAACAAATTGATTATAAAGTATATTGAGAAAATATTTCGAATTGTTGGCAGCACGAGACTGCGCTGCCTGTGTTAATAGCACATCAATTTAGCCATAAATTACATGAAGTATTTAGAGTGCCAGTTTTATTGGAGGTGATATGAGGCTCTGCCAGAGAGTGGTTGATCTTGCCGATTTAGCCTTCAGCGAGACATGACTCATTGGCCAATCCTATAATCTCTGATAACTCAAATGGTCCTGGCAAAATCATTCCCTGAAAGCCCCGCTCTAATTAGATCTTTCATTAGTTCAGAGCAAAATTTTCTTATAGAATGAAACGTTCTATTACAACAACAATATGATGAAACTATCCTGCGGGCTTTACCGCACATTCAAATATAAATATGTTTGAAGGTTCGCCTTCGAACATATTTATAAAACGCAAATGAAAATTTGAAAAAAAGAAATTCCGCAAGATTATATGAGCTCCAGCTATGCAGCCAAACACCGGCCGGATATGATACGATTCTTTGATTTGACACTCGCTCGCAGATATCAGGAATTCTGCTTTAAGTACGGCCATATGAACGACCAGAAAGACTGATGCCACATCGCATAATTGCTTTCATCGTATCGTACGTTTCTCGAAAGAAAAATTAATATATGAATGCCTACCTCCACTTCCTGTATGACTATAGTATACGATGGAGACCCAAAAATAATATTTTTTCACCTGCTGCATATATAGTGGCTTCATTTTCCGATGTTAATCCATCACGAACCTAATTTGCCGAATCTTGTATTCATCGAGAAAAGAATTACTTGACCTGCAATGTTTCGTGTGATACTTGATTGCATTCCACGAGTGATCAGAAGTGAACCTCGTTCGAGTATATGTAAAAATTTCTTACAGGTAAGGTAAAACCAGTTCATTCCAGCAGCATTGACGTCGCCTTGGTGTAAAATAGCTATACAATGTCCCAATTTGGATCATCGGTCACGCTCACCGTCGATGAGTAGATACGTGATTGTGTACATTTTGAAATGATATTTACTGCTTACATCCAGTTACATCACTGTCAAAAAACAAAAATGACATGGTTTTTAGAGCAGAATAGCAAATGGTTTGATATGCTTGTTAACCATTTGTCAAGAAATGTCACAGGAAAAATTATTTGCGAGAAAAATATTTATGCAAATTTTAAACCCATCACGAAGTTTCTGATTCGTTAATTCACTTCACACATCAAACATGAAATGTTTAATATCAAAACTTTACTCACATAGTTTAATTGGACGTCAAGCAATACGGGGTGAAGGACTCATTTTACCAAAGATATTTCTTATAATTTGCTTTATCAGGGAAAAAATAATGCGAAATTTTAGCTTACACCAAGATATACATATGTAGGTGATAACACACTGAAATAAAAAGAACAAGTTATATGGTTCTCCATAGGACAATAATACTAAATAAATGAAAAAAAATGTGGAAAAACTTTGCAACAAATAATGCTGATGCTTGTATCACTTGCTACGAGGCATGTTTTTTCATATAAGGACAGTTTTTTGTAATTAAAAAAGACGTGTAAATATATCGAAATAACTTTAGTTTTACGTAAAAGCCTGTACCTTAATCTACTTTTCTACATAATATCCGTGAATATTGAGGCACTTTAATATATTGAATATTGAGGCACTTAAACCTAATTGAATTGGCACTTAATTAAGTGAATATTTAGGCACCTAAAACTTAATTTTTAACGTATATTTTTTACAACACTTCTCTTTAACTTTACGTCTTGTTCTTTGTTTGTTTGTTTGTCTGTCTGCTACAAATCTTATAATCGATATAAACACACTTTTACCTTTCCCATCGATCTGAAATTTAGCACACATGCGTAAAGTCAGAAGCAATGCATGAATCAATTGACAAAATAAATAATTTTGAAAAATTTAATTTTTCCAATATATATAAAATTAAAAAATTAATTTTTATAATATATGATAATAAAATTAGAAAATCGATGTGCGTGTGTAAAATCGGAGACACTGGATTCTTTAGAAATGTTGTCTTTAAAAATTAATTTTTAAACGCATGTTATTTTAATTCCAAATGGTCCTTAAAAAACATGCCTCGTATATACTGTATATATAATTACTACAATTTTGAAGTCCACTTAATGTAAATAGGACAGTAGCGTGGTATATTCCGTTTATATAATGTTAATAACTTATTTGTAATAATTGATGATATTTTCAAGCAAAAATTTCTAAAGGAAAATTTCACAAATCAAACTCTTTGTGTAATTGCTTGTTCTGAATATAGTCGTGGTTATAGGCTGCCATGCAATGAAGAGGTCTTGAAGAGAAGAATAATATGATCGTAAATACAATGAATATCATACATTTTTCAAATCATAAAATTATTATTTTCCAAATCATAAAATAATCGTTCCTTCCAGCTAATCAGCGAACACAAATTTTATTTAAATCATAAACTATACAACGGTAAAAAAATGCGCACCACTCTCTGATTATTAATTAACTGACCAGTAATAGGCAGATGTTTTTCCGCTGCCAAGATATCCCGGCTTGTGCCTGTGGACCCTTGATGTTGAAATGGTTTAGGCTAGTAGAGCGCTTGTGCCTGTGGACCCTTGATGTTGAAATGGTTTAGGCTAGTAGAGCGCTTGTGCCTGTGGACCCTTGATGTTGAAATGGTTTAGGCTAGTAGAGCGCTTGTGCCTGTGGACCCTTGATGTTGAAATGGTTTAGGCCAGTAGAGCGCTTGTGCCTGTGGACCCTTGATGTTGAAATGGTTTAGGCCAGTAGAGCGCTTGTGCCCTGTGGACCCTTGATGTTGAAATGGTTTAGGCCAGTAGAGCGCTTGTGCCCTGTGGACCCTTGATGTTGAAATGGTTTAGGCCAGTAGAGCGCTTGTGCCCTGTGGACCCTTGATGTTGAAATGGTTTAGGCCAGTAGAGCGCTTGTGCCCTGTGGACCCTTGATGTTGAAATGGTTTAGGCCAGTAGAGCGCTTGTGCCCTGTGGACCCTTGATGTTGAAATGGTTTAGGCCAGTAGAGCGCTTGTGCCCTGTGGACCCTTGATGTTGAAATGGTTTAGGCCAGTAGAGCGCTTGTGCCCTGTGGACCCTTGATGTTGAAATGGTTTAGGCCAGTAGAGCGCTTGTGCCCTGTGGACCCTTGATGTTGAAATGGTTTAGGCCAGTANGGTCTCGAACTCGCAACTCACTGCTACAGCTGTCTCTTATACACATCTAGATGTGTATAAGAGACATGTCCTAAATAGAGAATATGAAATAGCGTCGTTTCTTTGTTCGCAGATGAGACCTCATTATCGCCAGGCTCTTAAGAAGTGATTTTGGAATCAACTATGCACATTCCATTAGAAGAAAACACGATTGTTGCACGGCATCAGGCATTTCGCGCTAATGACAGTGACCAATGTACGATTGAAGCAAGTCTTCAAAAACTGTTTGGCGAAATATTGCAACACAGCTCTGCGTCATGGTTTCCATTCTGACTGGAGCAACCCAGTCAAAAATACAGGCTGCAGGGTTATATATGTTATAAATATCTACAGTGTAGCCCCGCCTTACCAACTAAATTCTTACAGGAATTCGGTTCGTTTCCTAAAGCTGGGAACGAATATTTTAAATAAACATTACTGGAAAAGATTTCTATATGTGTTAGACCTCCCCAAAATCACCGCTTTCACGTATATGCTAGACTCGAAATAAGCTGAATTTTTCATTAGCTATAACATGAAATACATTAAAAAGTGTATAATGATGCTTAAGCCTAGCACTGTTGAAATTTATTATCAATCAAGTTCATGATTGTACTTAAGCTGATCGCTATCATCGTGTTAGAATGCGAGATCGTCTACGTTTAGCTTGACTGGATTATTATTGTAGTACATGCCTCACGACTGTGCGTGGATCTAATCAATGCTCCATCGACTTGCGATATACGATAAATCTTGCTTTTCTGTTCCTTAATTATTTTGAGTATGTGCAAATGTTTTGTCGTTTTGTTTAGTTCAGCGATGTGCATGTTTGAGCCCAATTGGTGTTCAATCATTTCATTGTTACTGTACTTGCTGTACAAAGCAAGTGTTGAACCGCGTTGGTTTTTTTGGTTCTGTGAAGCTTTTTATCTTCGACAGCTTGGCTCAAATCCTGACTTTAATTAATGCGCAAGCTTGCATGCCCTTAACTTTAACACGTACTTACAATGACTTAACTAGGAGTGGGTTAATTTACCAGAGTTTCATTTTAAGAAATACGCCTGGATTACAAGGAAATAATGTTGATATCATTTTGTACCCTAGATTGTATGCATACTGAGAAATTCAAGATGTACTGAGTCAGGTACAACCATGACTCATTTTGAAACAGGTTCTTTAACTGTGCATTTAGAGTTGCACTTCGTACATTAAGTACAGTACCAGCAATAAATTCTATCGTCGAGTTTTCCGCCACGCATTAGCCTTCCAGTGAATCAAAAGAATCAAACCACTCACTTTTTCAAAGGAGCCGCGCGTATTTTAACTGGTCTTAAGAAGCACATCGAGAGGATTGACAGCACCGACGGATTTTGTTAACTTGAAACCGAATTCAATTCAGTATTGCAACAACGTTGATTTCTGGGAATTG